ATTGTCTTCTTAATGACTTTTTGCTTTCTTCCAGTATGATGTTCTTCCAGTATATTGTCTTCTTAATGACCTTTTGCTTTCTTCCAATCTTAGACCTCTTCTAGTCTCCAGTCATTAGTGTCTAATGCTTCAAATCTGTTCTTGAGACTAATCTCTAAATTCAGGTAAGATATGTTTTAATTTCCTTCAGCTTCAACCTGAACTTGCATATAAGCGACTTATGTTCTCTTCCACAGTCTGCCTTTGGTTTTGTTTGACTGGTTATATGGGACTTTCCATCATCTCTTCCCACAGATGTAGTCAATTTGATTTCTGTGTATTCCATCGGGTAAGGTCCATGTTTATAGTTGTCTTTTATCTTGTTTAAAAAGGTATTTGTAATGAAGTCATTGATTTTGCAAAATTGTATCATGTCATCTCCAGCATCAATTCTATCACCAAGACCATATTTTCCAACTAATGACCTATCCTCTTCATTTCCAATCTTCAAATTCCAATCACCAGTAATTGTCAATACATCTTAATTGCATGTTTGATTGATTTCAAACTGACAAAGTAGATAGAATTCTTCAATTTCATCATCACTAGCTTTAGTGATTTGTGTGTAAATTTTATTAATAGTGGTATTGACTAATCTTCCTTGTAGGAGTATGGATATTATCCTATTACCGACATATTATCTTGAAATGTTCTTTTTGATGATGAATGTGACACCATTCCTCTTCAAATTGTCATTCCCACCATAATAAACCATATGAATACCAGATTCAAGTGGCCAATACCAGTCCATTTCAGCTCACTAATGCTTAGGATATTGATCTTTGTGTGTTCCATTTTATTTTTGACAACTTCCAATTTTCCTACTTTCATATTTTGTACGATCCATGTTTCAGTTATTAGTGGATATTTACAGCTGTTTCTCCTCATTTTGAGTTGTGCCCCATCAGCTAATGAATGAACCAAAGCTTTACTCTATTTGTATCATCACAATCACCTCTACTTGGATGAGGCAGCTCTTCCCCAGTCGCATTTTGAGTGCCTTCCAACTTGGGGAGCCTCATCTTCTAGCACTATATCTGACAATGTTCTGGTGCTATTCATAATGTTTCAATAATCAATATTCTGATGCTCTGATCAACTGCTATTCCTAAGGTTTCAGTGGCTAAACATTTATAAGTTGTCAGCTTCTTCGCCATACTAGTCTGTCTTATTCTGGAAGCTCAACTGAAACCTGTCCACTATGAATGACTGTGCTGATTTTTAATATACCGGTGGCATAGCTTACAGCATCGTAGTAACATACAGGCCACCACAGTCTGACAAACTGACAGATGAGTGGTGGATTCTGTCTCATAGCTACACTGTAGGATAGCGTAGATCTGACCCACAGGGTTTACAAGGCTGTAATCTTTATGAAAGCAGACTTCCATAAAGATAAGACTATCTGTGAGATATATTTATGCCATAGAGCAACTGGTGGGTTAGAACTGCTGACCTTTTGGTTAGCATCTGAGTGCTTAACCAGTTTGCCACCTGGGCTCCTTTGTAATATATTGTTGTTAAGTGTTGTCCTATCAGTTCCAATTCAAACACATGTAATGTTTCTGAAGAGCAGTTGGTAGGTTTGAACCACAGACCTTGCAGTTAGCAGTCCAGTGTTTATCCTACAGTGCAACATCCAGACTCTTTTCTGAGATGAGTTCAATAAATTATAGTCGTTTGATTTCTATTACTGCTGGTTGTTTGTTTTTTATTTTTAATGAAGGCTGCCTTCATTAAATGCAATGTATGAAATCTATGAAGGAGCTCCAAAAATTTCCTGAAAAAATAGAATGAAAAGATAATGGATTTTTTTAAAACCCCTTGTACTTATATGTAGAATTTAGGTTCCCAAAAGCACACATATGATGGCTACATCTGAATGTATTAAAGAGACAAAAATACAGTAACAATTCTAGTTAGAGTTAGCATTTCTTGAGCACATAAAAACCCAGTAATGCCACCATTTGGATACATTGATGCTCCAGGGTTGGACATCATTCGGAAAACTTATTTGTGATATCTGGGAAACATTTTTGTGTAGCATTTTCATACTATGAATTATGACATAAATAGTGGACCAAGTACTCTGGTGAGTTATCCATTTTAATGTAAGTGAAGCTCAAGTCTTTGTAGTAATTATCTGGATGCATTCCTTCACTCAGGGACCTATGATCATTTCTGAGTATGTTCAAAGAGTCAGAGTCCAGTAAATAACTGTACCCAGCTCATCGTGAACATGTGGCCCGTGTAGTCACCTAGCTCTCCACTTAGAATGCCCTGCTATCACCATCTTGAAATCCTGAATATTTGACAAGGAGCTCCACAATTTCATTTTGTATTGGTATTTACAAATCATATAGCCAGTCCTAATGGCACCTTTTCAACAATGGCATTTATTCTGTATCTATCTGAGCAGATAGTCAGAAACTCAGTAGGCGAAAGATGGGGGAAGAGTCACAACCTCTGAGTCTGAGTTCTCACTGTATCAGTCACTTCATTTCTCTGGGTTTTGTTTTTCTCACCTGTAAACTAAAGCATGGTCTCCATTGTTACTTCTGGTAATGTTCACGTTAGTAGGCTAAGACATAAGTGTAAAATGCTACCAAGCCTGGTTTGGAGTATAACTATGGTGATCATACCTTCAAAACCAGAAATTAGTATTATGATTCCCACCCCCACCCCGAAATGAAGTGAAGACCTTTCTTGCAAGGTTGTGATGCGTGGTCAACATAGCAGAAACCGTTGACTTTTAGACTAGACCTACGTGCCATTTGATCATTTTAAAACAAAAATTCAAATTAGCTGATCCAGGCATTATTTTGCTCATAGTCATTTCTATAGATTTTATGCTAATTTCCCAGAGACTAACTCACTCTGGTACTTTTGCCACACATAAAAAAACAAACAACAACAAAAAATCTGTATTCAAGACCTTAAAACTCTCATGTGCAAATATTGGCATCTGTGAAAATGATCTCTAATTTTCAGCCCTAGAAATTTGATGTATTGAGAGGTGATAAAATAATTAGAAGTCTGTGGGTGGCACAAATGATTAAGCACTGGACTACTGTGATAGATAAGACTGTGTCAACTTAACTTTGTCAGGATTGTCAATGGTTTGGCAGTTGAGATGCAGTTATCCCCAATGATGTGATTCAACGTGATAAACCAATAAGAGGATCAAGGGTAGGATATACCAACTTGAAACTCACGATCACCCTGCTCTGATTTATGAGAGATTCCCAAGGCTGTGCAACACCTTTTATCTTACAAGAGATATAAGGAGACAGACTTAGGCAGAGCTCAGTGGAACTTACTGCCACCAAGATAGAAGAGTCAGGAATGGAGTGCATCCTTTAGGACTGGGGTCCCGGGCACTGTAAAGCTCCTAGATCCTAGGGATGATGGATGCCAAGGTATATGGCGATCTCCAAGGAATACTTGGGCTACAGATGCGGAAAGGAGACAATGACCACTCCCCATAGCGGTCAAAGAGAAAGGCCTCCATAGAGCCAGTACTCTAAACTTGGACTTTTAGCTTACTAAACTAACAGTTCATAAAGAGCTCTGGGTGCATAGTGGTTACGAATCGGGCTGCTAAACTCAAGGTCGGCAGTTCGAAATGACCAGCCGTTCCACGGGAGAAAGATGAGGCTTTCTGCTCCCATAAAGATTTGCAGCCTCGGAAACCCTGTGTAGAGTCACTATGAGTGGGAACTGACTCCACAGTACTTAACAGCAACAAACTGTGTGAGGTGGCGCTGTGGGCTAATGCATTGGACTACAAAGTCGGTTTGAACAGCAAGATCCGCAGTTTGAACTCACCGGTCGCTCCTCGGATACCCTGTGCAGAGTTTCAATGGGTAGGAAGTGACTTGACATCAAATACCAACCTTGGGTGTATCCGTGTAGTCTGATACTCCAGTGTTAACTTTTAGAAAGGGTGCCACAGTATACTGATGGTGGCCCAAACGACTTATTTCTATAGAGACCTGGTCTCGCTGAGGTTCAGAAGAGTGTCTTCACCATCGAGGCTGCATTGACTCTGGTGGGAACTAAGAGCTTTTCTGATTCCATCATTCTAGCACCTCTGAGAGCACAGTTACAAATCCGGTATTAAAACTTGCAGCTGTTTAATGGCAGGCATAGACTTCGGATATACTCTGGGTTTTCGTCAAGTTTTGGTCACCTGCAAATTGCAATGATAAAAGACATTTCAAAGAAAACAGACAACTCTCAATGAGCTGAGATTCAGCACTCATCAGTTTTTGTATAAACCTTCAGTTCTGCTTGAAGCCACCTTCTACTTGAGCACATTTTAGATCACAAGAGAATTCACCACTCAAAGTGCCTCTAATCATCCAATTAAACATTTGCATCATTAAGTCGGTCTTTCCCTTTTACAGGCCTGCTGCCAGGCTGTTGAAGAGAAGGGATGGGGAGCCGTTCTCTAATGTTAAAAACCCACAAACAACCCCAGCATAAGCCACGGTACCAGGAGCCAATTAAGATCAAAGCTGTGTTGCTTAATGCTATCATTTCATCACTTAACTATTCAGCAATTTTTACTTTGACACGGATCAAGAGGTATTAATGCAGATTCTTTGAAACAATTCAAATAATTTAGGGGCTTTTTGTGTGAGTGTGTGTGTAACAGAATGATAATTTTTGCTCCGTATTTTCGAGAGCATACTGTCTTTTAGTCTCTGAACAGTAATCTAATTTAGGGTCTATTTATTTACAGATTTTCTCTTTTTTTTTTTTTCCTAGCCATTGACTTTTGTATTTTTATTTGAAAACGTTTGTATTAGTACAGTGAAACTAAGTTTTTCAGACACTGACTATCATTAGATTATTATAAAGGAGAGTCATGGAAATTATTTACTCATGATGCAAGATTTCAGAATTTCAGTAAGAACGGACAGCTTCACATGATGCCATTTCAACTGTGATTGATTTCAGTCGACATACTTACCAAGAATGTCACCATCTCTAAATAAGAAATAATCCTTGTTGTCTAGAACGACTTCGGTGCCCCTGTATTCTGGAAGACGAACTTTATCTCTAACTTTCACACTAACTGGTTGCATCTCTCCACCCTTTCCTTTAGATCTGCATCCAACAGCTACTACTGTTGCTTGCAGAACTTTTCCTTGAGATTTTTCTGGAAGTACTTTAGTTACAGTTTCATCTGCACTCCTTTCCACCAATACTTGATGAAAAAGCAGAAGAAACTTTTTTTAAATGTGTGTTCTACCATGAGTCTTGGATCTCAGCAACTCTCACTCCACATTCGCTATGCCTGAAGGAGACCCACAACCCGAAGCTCGACACATGTGAATGTGGGACTTGACTCATTTAAATTTCACTTTTATTTTATTTCTGTAGAGAGTAGCTTGTTTTTTGGTTTTGCCTGTTTTATTGTGTACTAGTGATATGCTGAACTTAGAAGCCCTGAAACCTAATGGGAGTTTACATTTAAGCTCCCAAGCTATTTCTTCAGCCCCCTAATGGTTGGCTGACTGATGTGTTTACATTGGTATCAGCCTTGAGTGACTAACCATAGAGATAGTTGTGTCTGACTTCTTGTTGCTCTAACAACTAGAAGCAGAATTACTGAGTTATCCTTATCTGCTATGGTATTTATTTTATGACTAAGAAAGATGGCTCAATGTGACCACATTTTGAAATAGTAGTTTGTGTTCTAGCAGCAGTTTATCTTCAAAGTAAAATGTAAACAAGTCAGCTGTAGACATTAGTCTATGAAAACATGCATCTAGTGTTTAGCTACGCATCCAAATAGAAGTTTACTTAAAGCTCATATTGCCATGTATTTGGATCCTGGTAATTCAGGGCCGTGACTCCAGCAAAGGGAAAGAAGGCTGACAGAGAAAGTGTTCTCCTTCCTATCCCTGTCATATGCTGGCGACCAAATTCTGACCCCATCCTGACCCTATAGGGTAGAGGAAAACTGCCCTATAGGGTTTCTTATGCTGTAATCTTTATAAGGACAGATTGCCTGGTCTTGGCAGTGGCTGTTGGATTCAAAACACAGACCTTTTGGTTACTAGCCCAGGACTTAACAAGTGTTCCATCAGGGCTAATATTCAGCCCCATACTCAGAGGCTTGAAGTTTCATTTCCCTAAGTGCATGTCTTTAGACTAGAGGAAGGAGACGGGCTATTTTCTTAGGACTGCCATAACAAATTACCACAATCTTGTCTTAAAACAACAGAAATGTATTCTTTGGCAGTTCAAGAGGACAGAAGTGTGAAATCAAGGTGTGGGTAGGGTTGCTTCCTTCTGGAGGCTCTAAGAAAGAAATTGTTCACGCCTTTCTCTTAGCTTCTGGCAGTTGCCGGGAATCCTTGAGGTTCATTGTCTTGTAAACACATCACTCCTATCTCTCCTTCCATCTTCACATTGCCTTTTTCTCTGTGTCTGTCTCTCTATGTCCTCTCGTTTTCTTAGATGGGCAGCACCATCATTGGATGATTTTATCTCAAGATCTTTAACTAATGGCATCTGCAAAGACCTTATATCCAAATAAGGTCACATTCTGAGGTTTCTGGTGAACATGAATGATTGCAGGGAGGAGGGACACTATTCAACCTGAAGGAACCTTGGTGGCACTGTGGTTAAAACTCAACTGTTAAACAGAAGGTTAGTGGTTTGAGCCCTCTAGTTGTCCCACAGGAGAAAGATGCAGCAGTCAGCTTCTGTAAACATTACAGCCAGGGAAACCATGTGAGATAGTTCTATTATGTCCTGTCTGGTCCCTATAAGTAGGAATCGACTCAAACAATGGGCTTGATTTTGGTGTGGTATTTAATTCAGTACAGACTTCCATGCCAAATTTGAACAACTTGGATAAAAAGGCTTTTGTTTTGAATATGTATGTACACACTTGCATCCATTTTCCATTTGCATTTGCAGGTGTACAGTTGGTTACTGAGGAGTATAAACCACATTTTCTCTCTCCTTCATGACTGAAATTCTCCGTTTTTGATGCAAAAGACAGTCACTGCATCCCTAGCACCAAGAGAACAGCAGTGATTTTGAATTGGCATAGATTTATGAAAATCAGATGAAAGTTCACTCTAAAAATAGAGACTGTTGTTGCTGATTTTATTTTAGCACTTTGTATTTTGGAAGCCTAGGAAGGAAAAGGTTGGATGGAGAGAAAAGCAAAGACAAAGTTATGATATGCTAATTTAACTGAAACGTTTGAATTACCTCCATGTTCTCTTATGGAACATCCCAAGTATGACATATAACGTGATAGATAGAGGACTTGTTCTCTAGAATTTACCATCTGACATCAGCTATATATTTGAAGAAACATGTCTCATTTTTAGTGGTGGTGGTGGTGGTGTGCCACTGAGTCAGTTCTGACTCATAGCGACCCTGTATAGGGTTTCCGAGGATGTAAATCTTTACAGGATCAGATAACCTTTTCTTTCTCCCACAGAGCGACTGGTAGATTTGAACTGTTGACATGTGGCTAGCAGCCCAATTGTAATTCACTACACTACCAGGGCCCCTTTCCATTGCTAGTAGAATCCAAGTATTAGTATTAGTTCTGTTTGGCATAAGGGCAATGCTATCTTCACCAAGAAAATTCCTGGCTTGTTTGGGTACAAGATGATTTTTTAAATGGAGTATCTCTTCACCTCTCCTATTTTAATGTAAAGACAAAAAAATCACACAACTCAACAATTTAAAATAGCTCCTATTCATATTCATCTATTCCCTTGTAGTTCTGGTGTGACACTGTGGATTAATGCATTGGACTGCAAGGTCAGTTTGAACCATATGGCCAGCGGTTCACGCTCACCAGTCGCTCCTTGGAAACCCTACACAGCTATGAGTTGGAACCAACGTGACAGCACTTAATAACATCAACAACAACAATTCCCTTATAGTATTTGACTACATGAACATCTGTTTTTATAAAGTTGTCATCAGTAAACAAAGAATTATATATTCTTAGTATTACATTATAAGCTAAGGATTACTAGTGTTCACTATCATCATCTTAATGATTCCATGATGTGCCAGGAGATTGGTGTAATATACTTTGATCTCAGCTACTTCTCCAGGGTTAGATAATTAAGTTGCTTCAATGTTTTCTACATTATAAATGTATGTGTGCTATATGAATTGTTTTCTGACATGGTTGTATTTATTTCTCCTGCCAAGAAGAACAACTTATTAGTGTCATCTCAACGAACCTTACCAATGTTAAATAGTCTTTACACAAAACAAAACAAATACCAGTTTCACCAGTGTAAAATCGTATCTCATTGATATCATTTACATTTCTTTGAGTACTAGCAAGCATTCTGACTTTTTAAGAGACTGGGACAAGGCATTTTTGAGACAAGTGTTGTACTGCTTGACACATACAAAGACAATCTAAAGACTGGTACTGGGGAATTGTTACAGCATCTGCATTCTGACTCCAGCCTCCGTGTGTCTGCAACATAGCCAGCTCTGACAGCTAATTCCAGTCTTCAGCTGGACCAAGAGGAGTAAGCAAAGAGAGCAACATTTCAGGATACAGACAGTAGCTGAAAGGATCCAGGAAAGAATTCTCCCCCAAGTAGAGTATACCAGTTATCTAGTTGCATTACAAACCATTCCAAAATGGAGTGTTTAAATTATAGCCATTATTTATTTAGGACAGGGATGGGGAACCATTTATCTGCCAAAATTTTTAATATCATTCACAGACCATACAAAATTAGCAACTTAAAAATTAGCCTGCTACATATGGTCAAACATTTAATTAACTCACCCCTAGCTCTGGTAGCGTAGTGGTTACGAATCGGGCCGCCAACCTTAAGGTCAGCGGTTCGAAACTACCAGCTGCTCCGCGGGAGAAAGATGAGGCTTTCTACTCCCGTAAAGATTTACACCCTTGGAAACCCTGTACAGGGTCGCTATGGGTCGGAACCGACTCGACGGCACTTAACAACAACAACAACATCAGTGATGGCTGGAGTTCTGGTGTGGCACTGCAGGGTAATGCACTCTACCACAAGGTCAGTTTGAACCACAAGGTTGGCAGTTCAAACCTACAAGCCGCTCCTCAGAAACCCTATACGGGGTCAACGTGAGTCAGAACTGATTCTAACAATAACAGCAGTGCGATGGCGGGATCTGGGTTGCCTTGGCAGGGCCAGACCAAATGATTTTGAGGACCTTACAGGACTGCAAAGGAACTCTGGTAGCATAGATTATGAATTGGGCTGCCAATCTCAAGGTCAGCAGTTCGAAACTACCAGCTGTTTCACAGGGAAAGGATGAGACATTCTGATCCCGTAAAGATTAACAAGTCTCAGAAACCCTGTACAGGGTCACTATGTACCGACTCAATGGTACTTTAACAACAACTACAATAGTACAAATATTCCTCCTTCTTTGTAAAGTTCTAGAGTTCTGCGTTAGATCCAGACCACTATTCCTCACATGAACAATTGTGGTTCAGGACTGGGCAGTGTTTGGCTCTGTTGTGCCGTAGGTTCTCTATGAGTCGGAACTGTCTAGAAGATACCTAAAAACAACACTATTCCCTAAACAAAGAATTCAGCTCAGTGTCTCTTGGCCTCCCCAACCCAGCCAGGTCTCCATGTTTTTAATGATCTTTAACATTGTAGATTGTTAGAGATGGGCCTGAGTAAAGAATGCATTTCAAAAAAATAATAATAATCTTAAGTATATTTGATGCATGTATACTGCAAGAACGCTTAAATTCTAATGTGCCGATAGTCTTGCTTATGAGACTCCTGCCTGATTGCTGGGTGTTGATGTAGGTGTTTCTGTTACCAGTATCGGAGCTCTGGTAGCGTAGTGGGTTATGTGTTAGGCTGCTAACCACAAGGTCAGCGGTTTGAGTTCACTAGCCATTCCTTGGAAACCCTCCCTACACAGGATCACTATGAGAACACTTAACAACAACAACATTACCAGTATCAGGAAAAGAAACATCAATTGAACAAGTTTACTTCTCCTGTTTTCCAAAGAGTAACAAAAGGGAAATTAGGGCATAGGAGAAGACACTGAAATCAGAAGTGGTCTTCCTAAATAGTTTGAACACTGTAAGACGGTAGACATAGTAGAGAGAGAACACAGAGATACTATAGGAAATTAGTACATTTCAATAGGAAGAACTGTACTAATGGTTGTTGTTAGTACCTTCGAGTCAGTTTCAACTCATAACAACCTTGTGTAGGGTTTCCATGGAGTGGTTGGTTAGTGGACCTTGTGGTTAGCAGTCCAGTGCAAATCCTGCAGCCCCACACCGTAACAATAGCTCATACTTGTTACACGTATTATGTGCTCTTGGCCCTGTTTAAAAGGTTAAACCACCATTTATGATAAGTCCAATTAGTATCTTCTTTTTACAAATGGAAGGTGAAGTAGTTTTTCCAAGTTCACTCAGCTAATGAGGAGAGCCGGCAGAACAGTCAAGTCTGTTTCCTTATTGTGTTGTACGAGGGCGTTTCTTCTCAGGTGTGGAGACAAAGTGGCCAGCATCTCATGACGCCTTCCTTGGGGTTCATGCATTGACACTCCTCCCCCGTCCATTTCATGGGGCTTAGTTGGTGTAGGGAAGGTAACTTGACCCTTGCTGTTTTTTTATTCACTGCTAAAGACAGAAAGGTTAGGAGGGAAGAAAAGTAGACAAAACTTCCAGAGGTGGAACCTTACTGTTTACTTTCTTATCTTCCTCATCTACTTACTGTTTAAGCACCCTAATGAATCCTGGTGTGGCACTGTAGGATAAGCACTGGACCAAAAGGTCTGTTTGAACCA